AAAATAAGATGTATCTGTAAAAAAATGTTTTGAAGAAAATTGTATTAACTTTTTTTGCCATTTTCACAATACTTTTGAAGAGTCTTTTCCCTTAAAGTTTTACAACAACAAAAATAAGAATCAAAAGAAGTCTTGGGTAACAAAGGGTATTAGAATATCTAGTATAAATAAACCAGAACTTAGTAAACTGGCAAAAAAATCAAACGACGGACTCTTTAAGGATTATGTTAGAAAGTATAAAACAATTTTCAAGAAAGTTTGTAATCAATCTAAAAGGATGTGCAATGCTAAATTCATAAACAAATCAGAAAATGTGAGCAAGGCTGCGTGGTGGGTTGTTAAATCAGAGCTAGGTTGTAAAAAAGTCAAGAATAGTTTTCCTGATATTAAACTCTCAAATAAAACCATTAGCAACGTAAAAGAAATAGCTGAATTCTTTAATAAAAATTTACCAATATAACCAATGAAATGGGAACATCACCATGTGAATTTGAGGCACTAAATATGACAAGGAACTTAATGACTAGTAAACAACTATTTAATTTTGATTTTAAAGCCATTGAGCAAAAAGATGTAGTCAAAGTAATCAAATCATTAAAAATAAAAAATCTGCGGGATGGGATGAAATTTCGGTGGATCTCATGAAAAAAGTCATATAGACTCTATTTCAGAACCTCTCACAATTATTATTAACCAATCATTTCAAAACAACATATTTCCTAAACAATTTAAATATGGAGAACTCAAGCCACTTTTTAAGAAAGGTGAAAAGCATAATCCTGACCATTATAGGCCTGTATCACTTTTACCTTCTTTTTCCAAAGATTCTTGAAAAAATTGCTTATAAACAAATTTATAATTTCTCGGAAACATACAATATATTTAGTAGTAAACAGTTTGGTTTTAGAGAGGGTTGCAGCACAATGACCGCTATATCCCATTTTGTTAATGAAGTGTCATGGGCCTTGGATGAGTCACAGAGTACAATGGGGGTGTTTTGTGATTTATCCAAGGCTTTTGATTGTGTCAACCATGACATTCTTTTGAAAAAACTGGAAATTTATGGATTTTTTAAGAAATCTATTTTATGGTTGAAATCTTATATAACAGGTAGATTTCAAAGAACTGTTGTTTTAAAAGGAGGCTTGCAGTCAAAATCTGAATGGAGTGAAATTAGAGTAGGTGTCCCACAGGGCTCTATTTTAGGCCCTCTTCTTTTCTTAATTTATATAAATGACTTACCTGAAAATATTTCTCATAATTTAATACTGTATGCAGATGACACAACTGCTGTTGTTAAAACTAAAACGGAGGATGATTTATGGGTGAAAGTAGAAGACGCTTTAATGGATCTTAGAAGGTGGTTTGAAATAAACGGACTAAAATTAAATCCAGAAAAAACACAACTAGTAAAATTTAATACGATACAATCCCGAAATTTCACACATAAAACAAGAACCAAAACTGTCAAATGTACAAAATTTTTAGGTTTGTATGTTGATTCAAATTTAACCTGGGCCAAGTGCATTGAAAACATATTACATAAGCTTAATTCTGCCTGTTTCCAAATGCTTTGTTTGAGAAATATTTTGGATATGAAAACACGTTTAATGATATATCTATTATTCTAATTCCGTAAGGAATTTCTTGTGCACAGCAAATCTCTTTTATTTATTAACCGATTTTGATGATTGATGTGTCAAATTAAAGGGAATTATCTGAAGAAGTCATGGAATAATTTTTGTCACGCTCAGTTCAATGTGCTTCGCCCCATTGGACTTTAAAGTTTCCATGTATTTTTAAATATAAGTGAAAATTTAGTTAAGTTTATCAAACATATGATTCATTTCCTTTTAAAAACATCTGTCTTCATAAAAATAACCTCTTTTATATCATTTTAATTTACTTTTACTGTTTATTTTTCAGTTTACTTTAAAATACAATGATGATTGATGAAATGGATAGATCACCATTATGGCCAATATGTTTAAAAAAAGTTCACTTGCTAAAAACATGAGAGCTAATCCAAGGGAATCAATATTTGCTGAATATCTTTTCCGAATAGGGAATGGCCATGAGAGCTATCATAATGATCTTGGTGATGCATTGATACTTCTTCCACCACAATGTTTTGTGAATGAAAATATCATTGACAAAATCTTCAGTGAAGGATTCTCTGAAGACGCTTTAAAAAAGACAAATAAATCATGCATTACTTTCACCAAAGAATGAACGTTGTGACGAAATAAATAATAAAATAGTTGAGCAACTAAATAATGACAGTCGAGTTTACTACTCAGTGGACAAATTGATTCAAGAAGAAGGTGACCAGTTACATATACCTGGTGAATTTCTTCACACTTTAGCACTAAGAGGTTTGCCTCCTCACAAATTATGCCTTTAAAAAGGTGTAATTGTAATTTTACTAAGGAATTTAAATCCACAAAAAGGACTGGTTAATGGAACCAGATTAATGGTAAAGAGATGAATAACAAAGTCCTAAATCTTGAAATTATTACTGGAAGTTCGGCTGGAAAACGAGTGTTACTGCCCCAATTAAGTTTAGAACTATCAGAAGGAAATTTCCCCCTAAAATTCAAACGTCGACATTTCTTATGTCGAGTCGCTTTTGCCATGACCATTACAAAAATTCAAGGACAGACACTTGAAAAATTTGGTCTTTATATGCCAGAGTCCTGCTTTCAGCATGGGGCATTGTACGTAGCAATGTCAAGATGCCACGCTTTTGATGATCAAAAAATAATGGTTAAAGAACAACGAAACCAAAGTCATCTGGCTAAAGACGTTAGAGTATTAACAAAAAACATAGTATGGGAAGAGTTTCTCATTTAACATTTTAAAAGTAAGATGACAATTTTAACTGGTCAGTCAGTATTCTGTAAGCCTACTCTGTTAGAACCTTTATTAAAACAGTATCGAGCTTAACATTTTTATTTATTGTAATTAAAAGTTTAGCTCTTAAAAGTTTGTTCTTTTTTTCGTAGTGATAAGTTAAGAGTTAAAAGGTTATTTAAATTTGTTTAATATATTGAGATATAGTTAAGATTATTAACTGGAAACAACTAGTTATGCCTATTTTTATTCAATATTGCATTATGGGATTGAATTTTGGGGATTCTCATCAGAAATAGAGAAGATTTTTAAAGTTAAAAAAAAATACTTAAGAATAATGACATTTGCTAAACGAAAACATTCATGTAGACCAATTTTTAAAGAACTTAATATAATGACTGTACCAAGTTTAATCATTTTTAAATCCTTATTAATGGTACAGTCAAATTTTGAAAACTTATGTGCGGAGAATTTTGACCATCCATATAACACCCGTTTCAAAAAGAATTTTCAGTTTCCGATTCACCGATTAAAATTAATAGAAAAAACACCAAAATATATGGAAAGAAATTGTTTAGTAAACTGCAACCAAAATATAAAGATTTAATAAACAAAACGTCTTTTAAAAGCACCCTTGCCTCATTTCTTGTAAACAAAATATATTATAGTATTGACAAATTTTTTGAATGATGGTAATTTTTTTAATTAGCAAATATTATGTTTTATAAAACAACCCAAATAATTATTTCTAAGAATCATTGTTTATTTTTTAGTATTTTAGGTACTTATTATGATATATGATTATATTGACAATGTCACCTGTTTTTGTAGCTTATGCTATGTAATCTGTAATACGTTTATATGACAATAAAGATATATTTATTTATTTATTTGTATCTGCAATCCTAAAATGCTATAGGAAATGAAAGGAAAAAGGTCCGTGACGTAGGAAATGGTGAAGGAAGTAGTAAAGGCGAGCAGTCCGGAGTGTGGGAACTGTTTATGACGATTAGAATAAGGTATCTGCAATCCTAAAATGATATGGTAAGGGAGAAAAACAGGTCCGTGACGTAGGAAGTGGTGAAGGAAGTAGTCAAGGCGAGCTATGCGGAATGTGGGAACTGTTTATGACGATTAGATAAAAGTATCTGCAATCCTAAAATGCTATGGAAAGATAGGGAAACAGGTCCGCGACGTAGGAAGTGGTGAAGGAAGTAGTAAATGCGAGCGGTCTGGAGTGTGGAAACTGTTTATGACGATTAAATTAAGGTATCTGCAATCCTAAAATGGTATAAAATGGAGGGAAACAGGTCCACGGCGTATGGAGTTGTGGAGGAAGTAGTAAAGGCGAGCAGTGTGGAGTTTGGGAATGGATTAATGTATCAGCAATACTAAGACTGCTTACAGAGTAAACTTATGATTTCCCCTGAGCAAAGCTCGGTCCCCAGGTACTTTTAATTTAATAGATTAATTGAAAATCAATCCAGGCAAACGGAAATTCGCTTAGTCGGCAGGTTTGCTGCAGCAGGGGTATTTAATAACTCTGTAGTATTGAGTGTAAAAGACGAATAACATTTTTGCAAAGGTCAGCCAATTTTAGTTCATAAAGGTAGTTTATCACTCACTGTCTGAATCCATAGTTCAAAGACCTGTCTATCATATGCAATAAACATGTGCAGAAAAACAGTTACAAAATTAATGCTAGAACTTCCAATGACCATTTACCTGCCTAGATTTCCATTGACATATTCCCTTACGATTGTATCAGGATATGTCCTACTATCTGCTGTACCCGTGCTTTGCAACGGAGAGGACTATTTTCCCCCTTTGGCCAAAGCTTCTAAAGGCTTTGATGAAAATGTTGTTTATACAACCAAATGCAGTTTTCAAAGATAATTTGTTAAAGCGAATCCACCTTAATAACTTAAATGTTTTTATTACTTACCTTATATCGATTAGGTTATAAACTGAGTAGATTCAGGATCGCTTTAGTATGTACTTATTTACTTATTACGTTACAGATGAGATTTTGTGTGGTCTCAAATGACAATTAACTAGTAGGCCTAAGTACCATACTGAATTATTTCATTCCAATATAGTTAAAAAAGTCACAATGATGGTTATAACTATTTGAATTTTGATTACAGATTGTGGTGGATATGTTGAGAATCTTGGTGGAGCAATAACAATGATGAACATGGTGGAACGAGGTGGTTCAATCAAATCTTATGACTGCATCTGGCTTATTCGACCTCCTACTAACTTTTACCATCTCAAGACACACATCTACCTCAAAGTCTCAACCTTTCTTGATATGGGTAAACTGAAATTATATACAAAACTATAAAGACACTTTTGGCCAGTGTGATGAACTATATTTTTTGTCATATTGCACCATTATTTGAACAAACTATACTACAAAATTAAAATAGTTTTCATTTAAAGGTAACCTATCAAAACTACTTCTAACTTGTTTTCAAGCAGCTGTTTAGTAAGTGATTCAACTGTTTTATCTATTACGGTTGTGTTAGTGTACATTATACTATCGATATGTTGAATTATTTACATTAAGGCAACAATTAACTACAATCAATACATACAAATTTGTTTACAATTGAAATTTACAACTGAGTTGACAACAGCTGATTTTTACTCCCTGGGGGCTAAAAACGCCTTTTACTCCCCAGAGAGTAAAAATGCTACTTTAGACCCGCAAACCATGCATTAAAACAGCTGTTTTTACTGCAGTATAACAAAAATATTATTTAAGCTATATTGCCTCTTATGGACTCTAGAAAAATTTTACCATACAATATTTATTTTATCTTTAGTTCTTGCAAAAATAAAACTGATTTTTGAATATCATTTGAAATATTTTCACTATAAAGACATAATTTCAGACCCGCTATAATAAATACCCCCAGTGGGCCTGGGCCCAGGGGCGCAAGAGGTTTTAGGTTTGTTGGGAGCGCAAGGAAGAAACAAAATTTCCCCACAAGGTAGGTGGAATACAGCGTAGCGGGTGCACGGATAAACATAGCAAAAAGCAGAAGAAGAATGCAAGCAAAAAGTATGAACAAACTGATCCTAAAGACATTCACCAAAGATTCAATTGATGGTGAAAAATCTAGCAATGACATATAATCTGAAAATAGATTATGAAGGAGAGAGCTTGGTAGGTACCATGATGATCAAATGTAAAAACTGTGAGGCCTTAAAATGGAAATAAAGAAACCCCGGGCATGTGCTGCAATGGTAGTAAAGTGCAGCTACTACCTTTGCAGCACCTACCTGAACCTTTATGCAGTCTGGTCGTGGGAAACCACCCTGAGCATACACACTTTATGGACCGGGTGAGACATAAGAGCTGCTTTAATATGACATTGTTTGGAGCAAAATATGTTGTACTGGTAGTTGAATTCTTGACTGAATTCTGACTTGATTTATTACAAATTTCAACCAATTTGAAAGTTTCCGTAGCGAAGCACGGGTATTCCGCTAGTCACTATATAAATAAAAAATGAATTTTAACATGCCTCCTTATTTTTGGTTATAAGAAGGATGTTATTATACTGAATATGCTTTTACCAGCTGGAAGCACGGAGTTGGTTGTCCGCCAAGGCCTGACGTCTGAAGGGCCGATCCTGGAGACAGTGAGACACCCTGTTGCACAGCTAGGTCCGGCCCACGCCCGCACACGCAGGGAAAACATCCTCCCTCTCAATGTTGGCTTCTACGTCAGTCTTCGGGGAACATTCAGTTCCGTGTCTCGACTTGCTATAGTTTACACCGCATTCACTTACATGGGTCAGTTGTCTTTTTTGTTACTGGGTCCCAAAATGAACAAGTTATTACTTATTAGCGAATTTCTCGTATAAGGAATAAGCTGTTACCGTAGGTTTCATGGTAAAACCTGGAGTCAGTACAGTTTTACTTTTTTGTTTTGATGCCACAAGAGGTCAAAACACTGTATGTTCCAAATTCATATACAGGGTGTATTTATGAATGCTCTCTATAATGCATTTGTTTGAAACAATGAAAACCATCATATTATAAACACAGGTCTGTAATGCCTGGTTGTTGTCTGTCTGTATGTGAATTTCACGAATGAATCCATTACTTTTGAACCGCTTCTGTATACTACAAACTTAATACATAAGTATTAAGAGGACAGATATTAGCACTAAGCAAAGCACCAGAATTATATATAATACCAAATCAAAATGGCTACCATTAAAAGTTTTATTTCCCAATAAGTGATTTTACTAAAAACTATTAAAAGTATAAAAGTAAGCGTATTTAGGAAATAGTTTGACTAATTTAACGACACTTCCTTAAGATCGGTTAATAAGCAATCCAGATACAACAATTTTTGAGACCGTGTTAATGAATGAAGGATGTTATTATAATTTTTCCCATTGTTGCTCCCTGCCACTTAGTGTCAGTGAGGTATGGTAGGTCAGTTTAGGCGGAGTAGGCCATGCACTGTCTCACATAAAATGAAATATCCTAATTGTTTACTATCTGATTTGTTCAATTTAAAGTGATTGTTGGGTTAGTAATAAAATGTCCTAACAGTTTGTACTTAAAAGAATTTTTAATCTCTTATTTTAAGATAGAAAATTTTTAATGACCGCCATTTTTATTTGGTATGATTTATAAATTTGATACTATGTTCAAATATTTGTCTTAACTGTCCCTACTTACGTACTAAGTTTGAAGACAATTGGTTAAGGGATGTAAAAGTTATGGACACATTTGTGAAAATCAAATGCGGACAGACAGAAAACCAGGCATTTTATACCCATGTTGTATACATGATATTTCTTTTTTAAATTTTAAAATTAGTTGCCACTTGATGACCTTGAGGGCCTTAGTACATTTGAAATTTTTGAGCTGCCCTTAAAATACTGTACCACTGTACCCCAATTTGGGGTTCCGGACAAAATTGATAGGTATACCAACAAAAAAGTGTACTTTTATGCTACGTACAGTTGTCAGAGCTTGATTTTCCTGGTGTAACCCATTACAAGCTAACAAGGGGGTGTCCAATGTTCATACTGCCCAATCCTGTATATATCATGAAACATAAAAATTTGTAGGCTTACATTACTTGTAAGCTTGTAAAAGTTGCTGGTTACTTGTTACAATTTGCAGATTGCTTTACGGGGTCCGACTATCTGTGTCAGAATCACCGTTGCATCCCTGCGCAGCTACATTGTGATGGATTCGACCACTGCGGAGACAATAGTGATGAGCCTGACACCTGCACCAGAGGTACAAGCGTCACAAAATATTTACTAATTTTTAAAGTTTTTTCTTAGTTGGTTTTTTACAAACATAGGAATAATTAATTGAACCTTCAAGTCATGTTCAGGTTCCATGTTTACTCTATTTCAGTGCATTATAGGGACTCTCTAGCAGCAAGTCAGTCACTTGCAAGATGTATGGAGTAAAAGAGTCAGTTGTTCTTCAAGCGGATTGGGTTTGTTCTCCGTTAAACGTATTTTGGTTGGAATACCTTAAGCCTAAAATACCATAGAAATAACTTTAACCAGTGGTGTAGCTAGAACATGGCTTTGGGGGGGAATAGATGAGCTCCAAGTCTGCACTCAACCTGAGTCCCGGTACCCCCCGGAAATTTTTGAAAAAATAGAATTCCAAACTTGTGTTTTTAGGCATTCCAGAAGTGTAATCACATTCCAAAGAACTCCAAAAATCAACCCAATTGAGGTTGTCTCCTACCGGTCAGATTCAGAAAATAGTATTTCTTGATTAAGAAGTATCACTATTGGTAACAACGCGATTGTTTTTTACCCGCCTTCTGCGTGATTCCCAACTTATTACAGTTTCTCCTAGTTTTAGGTTTGGCTGACATACCCTCCTGACGGCCCTGACACCACGCCAGATAATAATAAACAATACACAAGATTTTATTTAATAACATCAATGTATTTCAGAATACTTGTATGACATGGATGTTTTGAAAAATTTTGCCATCACTAGAATGAATAGTAACTAAGCTCTAACTAAACTAAAAGCCGTTTCCGTCTGATGTCTGCTTAGTGCATACAGCAAACAGCGCATGTTTGCAGTGTTACCACTACCACTCTCCAAATTTACTCCCGCTGCCTGGGTGTATTAATTAAAAAACCTTTTAAATTAGTAGTTTAATATATGTACAAATCAACTAATAGTTTTAACGAATAGATTAATAAAACCAACTCAAAACTAAATCATCAATTTCAGTTTTAAACTTCAATCAACTTGAGCAACTGTATTTTTTTCTGGTTGAGGGGGTTCTATCCCCCTCAACCCCCCCCCCCCCCCATAATTACACCACTGACCTTAACACTTTTTTTAGTACATAGCATTTCTGCTCTATGACATTCAGTTTCTGAGATATTGAAGAAGTGCTACATACAGCACATTGTATCCCATCTTAACCTTACAGGGAATAATAATTGCATACTTCATTATTGTAGCTTGCTTGGATATTGAAATATTTATATAGGATGTGGCAAGTTTATTCATTCCATACAAAACTATTAATATTTCACAAAAACACTTCGCATTACCTTCCCTGTAGCAGAAAATCTAAGTACTTGTTAAACCTAATGTTATTTAAATAGTCAAATAAATATGACATGTTTACAGAAACATGTTAAAATACGATCAGGCAAATGGAAATTTTACTTAGTCTGCAGGTTTGCTGCAGTGGCAGCATGGGGTATTTAACTTACAAAATTGATAGTGAAGAGCTAATTTTCAGGAGATCTTATAGTTTTGAAAGTATGAAAATATTTGGAAAGGAGGATGGATAGTAGTTGTCATTTCATCCATTGATTTTAGTGGACACCCCATCACTGGTTCTATGTTATGGTAGCAAGGTTCAATACTGTATGAAATTGTAATTTTGCAGAATGGGATGCTGAGCCTGTAGATCGTAGATGGTACTCCCATACACCGAATTACTACTTCCCCAAGATGGAACGTTACCCGGACCTAAAGACTGCAACATTAGTTTTTGTCATCAGTAGTCTAGGTAGATACTGTAGCATGTTATAGCGTTATAATCCATGTACCTACAGTTTACATTTAGAGAAAAAGTAGAGAAGAGCGTTTTTCTTCAACATTGTTTTAACTAACCAAGGAGAATATCACAAAACTAAGTTGTACACAATAATTCACTTTTGCTTTTAAAAATCAATTAAAAATCTATTACTATTCTTCTTTACTCAATGTGTAAATTAATGAAATAAAGTGAACTGGAACAGTAAAAATAAGAAAGGTTATTTATTGTTGTTGATGTCTTATTTACATTGATGAAATTTGTGCCCTGATTAACAATAATAGTGGTTCATTTTTCTTACAAAAGTAATACAATTTGCCATTATTTTATTTTTTTCTTACTGTGATATAGTTTACATAATGAGCTGCAGGTAAAGATTCCTTTTACTTACAAAAGTTTAATAGTTACATGGTAAACATATCAATTTTATGTGAAATCAATAAAAACTGTGTTTGCATCAATACAGTAATCTATGTTGTGTGATTCCTTTTTACCTATTGACTTTAATAGGTTTAATAGGTGAATGTTGATTGTTTTCAGAATAAATAAAGTTTAAATAATCGTTTCATTTGATAATTAAATTGTATTGGTAAATTATTTTCGTACATGCCAATCAGCAACCTCATATAATTCGTACTAGGTAGCCTTATAAGTTAGCTTAACTTTAAAGGATATTTTTTTCAAACTAAGAGGTCCAATTGAATTTGGTTGCAAAAAACAAAGGCGGATATGTAGCTATTTTTTACAAGATTTAAAAAACAAAATTTTCTTTTCAGTGTCCTCTCTGTTGCAAAGCACGGGTACAGCAGATAGTAGGACATATCCTGATACAATTGTAAGGGAATATGTCAATGGAAATCTAGGCAGGTAAATGGAAATTCCCTTAGTCTGCAGGGTTTGCAGTGGCGGAGGTATTTCAAATATAAAATTGATTTCAGCTTGTCCATAGATGGGATGAGTAGGGTACTTTAGCACCGGTATCTTAGGTTTTCCCATGTTGAACTGGGTAACTCTCCATGCCAGTATGCAATCAGCTGACTCCAGTCTTGTATCTTTTTACATTGGAGAGCTTGAGTTTAGCAACAATTTTAATGTTACAGGGCTGATTCTACTCATAGCTGCCCTGGTGGTTCTCCTGTACCGGATGGGAGCTAGGGCCAGACAGCAGAGAGAATTGCAGAACAGGCTGCAGACCATCAGCGAATTGCTAGGTGACAGGTGTTGTCCATGTTGTGTTTTTTTTTAACAGCTAGTTAAATAAACGGTATCAGCAATCTGAGGCATACTTTCTCCCATTAGCTTGTCAACAACCTTTATCATTGGTAAGCTGTGGGAGTAACTATGATATTTCAAAGAGAAAATCACAAAAGTTGCAATAACTTTTTAAGCGTAATTTTTATGGAAATGGGATTTGTACCATTTTGTTCAGAATTCAAAGGACTATAACATACTAAATTTGTATCAAAGTCGTTTAGGCCATTTTTGAAAAAATCCTATTTTTATGTTTTATATGGTTTTATATGGACAAATCACCTTTAAAAATCAAAATAAAAAAAATAATAAAACACCTTAGTGCCTACATGCCGAATTTAATTAAAATTGGACAACAGTGGTGTGGTCTGTTGTAGCTCTCCACACATACAGACACACACATACGGGGTTTTACCGCATACTCACAAACACCTAATTGTGGCATCTTTCAAACCACCAGTGGATGAAGGAAGGTGGTAGAAACATGTGTGCATCGATATTTTTAATAAACACTCCATTTTAACATCTAACATTCCAGTTTTTAATTGTGGCACCTTGCCACAAATCGGTATATATCAACAGTGTGTGGACAGGATGCCACTATTGCGTTGTAGCGCTTGAGCGGTGTGTTCGCCCCCCTACTTCTCGCGTGTGCTGTTGCCAGTTCTCCGTTCTAGTTCCTTCATTCCGTTCTGTATTCATTTGGCTATGCCCTAGCGAGCCGCTGTAGCTCATTGCCCGCGCTCCTCACGTCGTATTTTATTAGTGTAACGATTTTTTACATGCAGTTTTTTCCAAGCTCCAATAATTTTGACAATTATATTGGATTTAAAGTCAATGGACCAAATGAAATGTCGTGAGGATTACATAAAACTACATCCTATGTCGTTGATATTTTATCATCACATTATATGTATGGTTTACGAACTTAGATACTTGGATTAAAGGCCTTAATGTGCTGGGTAAATTATCAGTTTCATGGGAATATACAAGAAATTTACCTTAAAATACGCAATAAGAGTGACTCCGTTTTTTCTGTATGTATATAATTAATTCATGGTAATGTAAAAGTATGTGTAACGAATTTTTCACCACACTATGGATGTTTTAGCTGTTTTACATACATTAATTGGGGGCTGAAAGTTATGTTTTTCTGACCATGCCAGCTGTCATCTTCATATAGGGGCCGAGCAGGCGTTTACATCCCTAGGGCCGCAAAATCACTTGTTCGCTTATTTACTTAAAAGATTAATGTATATTTAATGCACAAGCTGTATCCATATGGCATTGCAATAGACTTGTTTTTTTGTCACAGCTGCCTAGACAACTATTTATTTTTATTTTTGATTTTGCTGATTCCTCAAAATGTTTCACATAAATAAGAGGGACGTTATATTACAAAACATACTTGGGTAAAAAATAGCGTTCGTACCTCGAGCCAAAATGGGTTTGCAGCTCTCGATCGTTTCACATTCTCGAATTTGTCTCGAACTTAAAACCTGATCTCGAGTCGGCAAAACCTCGCTTTCGGCCATAGGTGCGAAATATACTATTTTTTACGGTGGATTTAGAGACCCAAAGATTCTCACCCTGTTGCGCGAAGTACGGGCAGAAACACTATAGTTAATTATAAGATTATAAAGTCTTTACTGTTTTGTCTGTACATTGCGTAGATTCATGAAGTGTTTGGTTATTTCTACGTGTTATATAATAAGAAAGCCGAAACGAGTCTTATGTCAATATCTGTACGTTTGTTTGATTGTTTCTGTCATTGTGTCTGTAACGCCAAAATTCCAATTCACGTGTCCTACCTTGAGAAAACTAGAGTACCGTTCATGATCCAAATAGTATTGTAATTTTTTAAATAAATTTGCCAAGTTTGATCAAAATATATCCATAAACAAGCAAACTACAACATTTTACAATATTCTTTATAAGAATAACATGGGAATTTTAAATTTACAATTTTCAAATTTGTCCTGTTACCAATAACCGTACAAAAACACTTTGATATACAAAATTATTTGTTTTTTAAGCTATTTAAAAAGGTCTGGATATAAATTGGGACATTTTGTATTTTTAAGGTAACGTTTTTCTCCATTACATATATTAGTAACAATATGTATAGTATCAAATTCAGTAATATCATTGACTACTGTATTTAAACCTTAACACAAGTGTTTATGTAGTCAATGAGGCTACTGGTGCTACCGCTGATGGCTTATGCATGTGTACGTTAGTAGCTAGCAGACAATTTGCCAACTAGGAACATGAAATAAGCTGTTCCCCGTCCTCACTGTCGCGGTTGATCGCCTAGCATGTCAACAGCTGACTGTTGTAAAAATTGGATGAGGCGACAGTAACTTATTCTAGTACGCTTCTTTACCATGATATCTGTCAATTCAATTTTGTCCTAAACAATGTATACACATCTCTAAGATTTGTTGCCAACTGACAAGCAATTAAAATTAAAAAAAAAAAACAACTATTGTTTATCATCCCTGCAAAACTGCTAATAATTCATGTTCAAATTTTCATCAGAATTCCGTTAGTTTAAATCAACAATCACATAAGACCAATAGATGGAGCACGCCTAACATACAAGCAGTTGAAGCCAGGTCCGCCATCTTAGTGCAGGTTAGAAGTGGTAGATGTCAATGAAAACGGCACCAAAACTCAATGTCCAGCTTCAAAATAACTTGACATTTAGCCTATTTAGACTAAATGTAAATCGTTGAAACTTCGTATGAAAGATGTCAATTAGTCTAGGACACTATTGGCTCTAATTAAATAATTAAAAGCTTAAAAGTTTCTATTTTCTATTTTAAATCTTGAAATAAAGTTGGTACTTTTAAATGAGTTTTAAAATATTACATAAAAAAGTTCGTCGGCTGCTACTGTTTTAATTTTTTTGTCAGGTTAGTTAAAAAACTGTGGATTTTGTGGCTAAAGAGCTCAATTTCTTGGATCATATTTTTTTTTAATTTATAAAGGAAAGTTGTATAAAGAGTTTCAGAAACCATCTTGTGACTTTGAAAATACATTGTAAACCAAACGCCAAACCTTTAATACGATATAGATACATATATTATAAATTAATTTGTAGCTTTTGAGAATTTTTCTTTCGCCCAAAAAGTTTTTGTTAAGTATTAATTATGTAAACTAACTGTTTGTAAGATACGGTAAACGCTAGAAAACAAATTAAAAGCATATTTTAAAGGTCATTGTTCAACGTCATTAATTGTTACATACCAACCTAGGGCCTATTGGTGACATTGGGGAGGTGGAAGTCTAAATTTAGTTCATTACAATTACGTCAATGACCTTGAGCTCTGCTTAGTAAGATGCTGTGGTATGGTGGCGTGTCGGGGAGAAGGGTAAAGGGGGTTAATAATTGTTCATGCTTACTCATTCGCTCTTACCCACAAACAAACTTATTTCAAGCCTAAAATGAAGAATGTAGATCTAACTTCTATATTCGTTTGGAAAACGTCAGTCTTAGAGGCAAGATGCCTGCGCGGTTCATCACAAGTCACTGTCTTTACTACTTTTTTTTAGTAAGCCTATGTGTCGATTATGTATCTTGTACAATGTAAAATCAAGATGACGTTGTCCAAACTAAGATACAGGGCCGGTTCTAGGAATTTTTCAGAGTTAAGCGAACACCCGAATCAGCGCCACTTAGAATTCCCCCCCCCCAAACCATGAACATAACTTAACCATATTTATAAATTTTTTCCCAATAATTTTGGGAAGAATTTTTCAATAAGTTTAGGTTAGAAGAATACTTTCAATAAAAGGCTGTTTATTATTCGCAGAAATTTAACATTTTTACAATTTTACTCATCATATAAACTTTAGCAAAACCAAGGCCACGCAAAAAAAACAGGCTTTAATGCTCATCAAGCATGACGTCACGATAGAAGACGGCAATGACGTAATGTTTGCCGTTTGTGATCAGCTGCTTGTGTTAATCTTTCTTTGGAAAATAAATAAATAAATACCTAAATCATCGCCGTCTTCTATCGTGACTTCTTTGGGCTGAATGGGGTCGCCACTAGATGATTTAAATAAAAATCTACTCATTGATTTGGCTTGTTTTTTTATCTTCCTCTTCCAAATTCGCCTTACGCTTTCTATAATAAGTGCCAGACGGTTTCTTTTTTTCTGCCATTGTTTTCTTAGTATCGGCTCGCAAGATGTTTTACTCATTAATTCAGTTTATACTTTCTTCTTATTTAATGCGCTAATTATAAATTAAACTTAAACCACTCGTAATCATATACTTATCAACAATCATCATGAATCATCAAAACAATGCCAATACGATACCGATACGGTATACGTATACAACTAAAAGAGTGCAATACAACATAATGCTCTGCTCTAGGATCGGAGCCAGAGGCAGAAGGGAGGGAAGGGAAGTTTCATGTTGTGTCAAGTGGCGGTGGGGCACACGGAAGGGACGATGGCTTAACATAGTGTCAGCCAGCGTTCGCCGCTAGAACCGCTAAGTCGACAAATTTAAATTAATTTTATAATTTTTAGTAATAAAATTAACTTTTTAATTATAAAATTAAACTGTCATAACCTAACCTAACCAACCAAACTTGCTGATAATATAAAAAAGATATAAGACAAAAATCAAATAAAGTAAAATCTTTGACAAAAAGTCAGCCTCTCGACGGGTCTTGAAACTCGAGACCTCTTGATCACTAGTCCGATGCGCTATCAATTATGCCACGAACGCCACTGGAATCACATTGCCCCGTTACGGTAATCATGTCGCCTCAAGAGAAAACATTATAGCCACTAGAGATATGACGTCACCTCACCTTTAGCCATCGTCCCTCCCGTATGCCCATCCGTGACAAGTGGCGCTGCGCGCTTGCTTATCTCGAGCATGAGCGAGTAATGAAACCCACAGACAGGCGCCGCGCTGTACGCTGCCGACTGCCGA